AGAGGCACGCTAGCAGCAACTTTTGAGCAATTGAAGGAGGTGAAAACTCCAATCATAGGGTGCTGAATCGAAGGACACTTATTTTTCCCCAAATTTGTCAAAATGTTATTTTTATCTGTTTTCTCCCTTTTTGGAAGTTTCCTTTTAATTTTGGTACTGGAAAATCCCAATGCACTCGTGCAAGTTTGAATCTTGAGAATCTTTCTGAGAAAATCCTTGAGAGTTAAGAGGGCAAATTTTGGGGTACAACACAACTTTTATGAAGTATAAAAGATTGTTGTAGTTCATGTTTTAATTCAAACACGAAGAATTATGGAATCTCGTCTATCACACTAGATAGTCTCTGAGTGTTATCTAGTTGAGGTAGCGTGGTCTTAATATTATGATGCAAGGAAAAACAACTATCTTTGGTGTTTGCACCACCCATAATAACTTTCTCAGGCATGCCCAGCTGACCTGGATTTGGGATGTTGAGTACACCAATTGATTTCAATTTTTGCATCATAAAAACAACTGAACATAATACAAAAATTAAAATACACAAACAATAACAATAACATACAACTTAATATTTAAATTATACTTATACCTCAATCACATCGTGGATACATTTCTCTCGATCAACCTCAGCAAACCTCTCTCGCTCCTCCAACACCTCTAGCAACATCCTTTCCCACTCCTCTTGCAACATCCTCTCTTGCTCCTCCCTCTCCTCCTACGACATCCTTTCTCGCTTCTTCCGATTCCACTTCTCCCACTCCTATTCTAACATCTCCCTTATCTTTTAAGCAATTATATCATAAATTTCTCTCATATGATTTACTTCGTTAATTGGTTGCGATGATTCAAGATATAACTTCAAGCCGATGTCTCTTCCAAAACCATAAACACGCCCAATGCAGCACCCGAGGCCGGTGAGGGTGGGGAGTGGTTGCTGGTATACGAGGCATGACAATGAGTGACTTCTGGAAGCTTCTAGGAAAAATTGAATTCACATTGGAATGAGAGAGATCTTGAGGTTATGTAAGTATGGGAATTCATGGTTGAATGAAGGTTTGTAAGGATTAATTGATACTATCTATACCAACAAGATGCATTTTCTTTTTGGTAGCCTACTAAATAAGAACTTCATAGTTAAGTGTGCTTGACTTGGAGTAGTATTTGGATGGGTAAACTTCTGGGAAGTTTCCTGGAAAGCGTGTGAGTGAGGACAAAGAAAGCTGAAAAGACTCGTATTGGTTTGTGGGGTCAGTTACACCCAACATGCTCCTAGGTTCTAATTGCTTCTACCAAGATGTCATGACGATTTTTTTGGAACGAATATACCAACTTTGGCTTATTCAACAAGTACTTCTTACAACACATTGAAGTAAATAAAATTGAATTAACTAAAATAATAATGTTGAGAAAAATATCTCCTCACAATCTTTTCAGCCACTTCATGTGTAACGTCTAATATGAACAAGTCATCTGGTCTTTGACGCGTCCTCTTCTATTTTTCACGGCGTGATGGTGGAGATGGAATATGATCAAAACTTTTAAAAGGATATCCCAACTCTAATTTTTTTTAGTTAATTATTTTCTATTCAAGTTTATCATATCCTTCACGCGACAATCTATGTGGATATATATTTCTAACCCGATTCACCTTTATTTTTTTATTTTAGCCAAGAACTCAGGAATGGTGTGAGACTTTACAGAATCCTCCCAAACTTTCTTATAAATAAATGAATACTTCACCTATGGAGGTGTTACGTTATCTTTTGGATGTTTAATATATTCATCTGTGAGTTGTGTCTTAAAGCCCCTCCAACGCTCACCAGCATATACAAGCCATTTCTTTTTCAGTATAGTATTCTCTGGAAAACTAAACACTTTCTACATTTACATAATAGAGTTGATATTAGTATTAAGCCAAAAACTAAATGGTCATATATACTTATAAAAAAAATAAAAAAAATCATAATAAATACAGTAATATCGGTCCATATGTTATCTTTTAATTCACCATCAACTTCATGCCAATTATTTATCAAAATACTCACTTTACTTTTACCTTGAAATGTCACGAAACCCTTGAAATCATCACCATTTTCACCATAAGCCTTTCCTGTGCTCAGATCAAAATTAACCAGGGAGCAAACACCATTTTCATGGGCTTTTTAATCTTGGTACACATCGTGATACCTCTAGCTTTTCTTTTACTTTTTGTATTAACAGGGGTTGCAACAGAAGTTGTATGAGAGATACTTGTTAAATCACCCATGTCTGTGTAAATCGAGAAAAATAGCAACCTATAACAAAGAAACCTAACACAACACTTCATTCTAACTAGAATAAATATGCAATAGAGAGAGACCATAGAATCATAATAAATAGAAATATGCAGTAAAAAGATGCCAAAAAAAGGAACAAGTAAAGTGATGCTATCATCCATTGAAATAAAACATCTTTCCCTTTAGTTTCTATTGACTATTAAACAACAACTAAACCACATTCAGAATACACAATAAGTTATGATGATTAAACAAAAAAAAAGTTTAAATGTCATACCCATAGAGAAGAAACACAACAACTAAACCACAATTAGAATACACAACAACTTAATGATGAAACATATATGGAAGAGTTAACGTTAAAACATTTTAGTGGTATTACATTTCTAATACATTATCAAACAACATTTCAATGGTAACAATATTTCAAACAACATTTCAGTGGTATTACCATTTCTATGAATAGTGAGTTACGTACCTCAAATGTGACGACGAAGCTTCATCGAGTTTTAAAAAAGAGACGATGTTCGAGTTGACATTGAAGAGTTGACATTGAAAAAAGATAATGTTCGAGTTGATGTTTGATGAAAATTACCCAGAGTTTTTGTGAAGAGAATGACGATAAAGTTAGAGTGTTTGTTGATAGATAAATGAAAAGTTAGAGTCTAATTCTCTGAAGTATTCTGCAAAAGTAAAAGCACATTAGTTTTTAGACAAAACAGAGAGAATATATCAATTAAATATTTAAAAAATAAAAAAAGCCCTATATAGCATCATAGCCTAAGAATTCATTTAAAATAACTTTCACGTTGGTTTTTGGAAAAAAAACTGAGGTAAGAAATTATCTAATAATTAAAAATAATATAAAAAATGAAAAAATATTTGATAATATTGATGCTAAAGATATTACCCCTCACTTAGCTAGTATAGCCGAGGAAAACACAAATAAAAAATAAATAAAAAAGTAAAAGGGAAAGACACCATGTAACCCTAAATTAATTAAAAATAAAACATAAAACACAGTAATTGAGATTCGAAGCGAGCTCCCTCGTAGTTATATTTTCTCGACTTTGGAAATAATTGAGGGTATAGTTTGTATATATTTTATAAAAAAATGATGGCGCTTCCAGGACATATACCTCGATTATTGGTGGATCGAAGTGAAAGTTTTATCATGAAATATATTATTTGTAATAATAGTTTTCTATGGGCATTACTTTTGATACCCTTAATGGTTCTCACGCACCCTAGTGAAAAACTACTAATGCCCATAAAATCTAGAACTTAACCTCCGAACACACCAAAAATCAACCACAGTCAAGTCTCATACCTAAGTCATAAATAAAACTATTCAGAGGTTAAGCTCCATATTTTTTATGGGAGTTAACATTTGGAATCCTTCATGTTATCCCACACTAAAAAGAATTGCCAAAATAGGAAGAACAACATAAATTAACAAAAAATCTTTGCTATCACATACATTAAATATGTAACATTACATATATTTTATTTATAGTAAATCTAACATTACATTTCATCATCAAGAGATCATTAATGAAGACATTTCAACATATTTAAAATATCTTCGGTCGATCCCGCAATTGTCGCATCCGCCTCAATCAAACTGTTTATTTCATAATGGTAAAATGTACTTCACATAACTGTTAAATCTTCTTCTCTCTTCATATCAAGCTTGCTCAATTGTATCTTCCCTTCGTTGTCAATTGAGGGTGAATAATAATTAATGCAGCTTCACAACTCTTCGTTTATATGGGTATTATAAGAGATTCTCTAGTGTGGATTTTAGATCGACAAGATGTGTGATCTTTGTGAACCTAAATTCATCAAGAGGAGGCCTCTCGCCGTTGAAGTAGACAAATGCAGGATCTAAATATTGAGATATTTTATGGATTTTTAGATAACAACATGAGGGACACTCATATTTATAGAAGTTTTAAATCAATAATGAACTTAAAAATTCAATCATGTCTCAGAGGATATTCCAAAACTTAAATTCTAGAATAACTCATTTACATTTAAAAAAACACAAGAAAAATGTTGAAAAATATTCTAAAAATATATCATAAATTTCATATTTAAATTAAATATAATAAATATTATATTATAAATTTTTTAAACTATATCTAAATTAAAATAAATATATTAAAATAATATTTTAAAAAAAATATGATGCAAATAAAAAATCAATTCTTTTTTTAGTTTTTAAAATATATTTTAAAAATAAATTTATCAAATATTTTTTTTATTTATTAATCTCTAATGCAATTTTTTCAAAATAAAATTACCAAAAATATTTTATTTTATTGTATTCTTCACAAAGTTTTTAAAATTGATTTATAAATTAGTTTTTTGTTTATAAACGAAATGATAATAATCACTAAAAATTCACACAGTGAGTATCAAGATTCGATTTCGCGTCAAATCTAACAATATCAATTTATGTCAATTGAAGTAAAATTTATAAATTAAAAAATAGTTTTTAAATACTAAAAATCAAAATTCATTCAAACAAGTACACAATTTTAATTCTCAGCGATTCAATTAGTTGATAAAGAAAAAAATAGAATAACAAATGAAACAAAAACAAAAAATTAAAGAAAAATAAACAAATAGTAAATGAGGTTATTATTTAGCTATTGTGTTTGGTTACACATTTTTAGTCTCATTCATACTCACGTTTACAACAATCTGCTTTCAAAATATCTAACCCTTAGCTTCTACATCAACGTGATTCTCTTGAACTGTTTCTTTCGGTTTTCTTGTTGATTGCTGATACAAAACCCCACCAAGCATACAAATCAACGTACCAACGCACGTTGAGTGGTTATCCCATATCACCAAATTAACCATAACTGTCAACAACTTGTTCACTATACCAAGAACAGTAAACCCAGTTGCAGAAATAGCTCTCCTGCATGAAAATCCGAAAAAAGAGATCGAAAGACCGAACAAACACGACAGCACCACCGCGAAAGAGTGCAAATCAGACTCATCATTGATATCATGCTGTATTTTCTTGAACTCGTCCATTATGAATAATTCCAGTGGAAAAAGCATTAGAGCCTCGATGTTGTTGTACAACACGAGACCCCAAGTGTTCAATTCGATCGTGTTAATCACATGCTTTATGTAAACGAAATCTATCGTCATACTAACTAAATACGCGACCACCCACGTGTAAGCCGTGAACATAAACTGATAATTGGTTGCAACGTAGAGCAAATTTCCAGCAAAAATTGTAGCCAAGAAAACCCATGTCTTTCACAACGGCCACGGCCGATGTAAAAACATGGGCTCCCTGACTGCCACGAATATTGGAACGACAGATCGAAACACAATGAATGTGTCTACATTGGCATGCAACAACAACTCACTGTTGGTAAAAAGAGATAGGTAAAAAAATCACAGCAGCGGTAAAAACCGCCACATTGTGATCAGATTAAACTTGTCATATTCAACAAACTTAAGTCAACGCAGAGTAAAACTCCGGCAGCACTAGTGAAGTACTGCATGTTGAAAATATTAAACTTGATTAAACTTAATTTGGGCCTAAATTTATTAATTATTTTGGGTTTAAGTAGTTTTCTAGAGAATTCTTGTAATATTTGAAATCTCTAAATATTTTTTATAATTGTAATATTTTCTAGAATAGTCTTTGGATCTCTAGAGTTGAGAACTCTCTAGAATTAGTGTGTCTAGAGTTCTCCTTAGAGTACTATAAATAGAGATGTAATCCCAAACATTTGTATCAAGCAAAAATACAAAGTTCTTCTCCTCCATAAAGAATTATCCTACTTATCAAATTTATATTCAAACCTTCAATATTCCCACACACTTCTCCTTAACATAAAAGGTATTATTTCCAACAAGTGGTATCAGAGCTTCAAGATCCACAAAATGGCGAATGGTCGTTTCCCTTTCCAAATGCTAATGCTCACAAAGAACAACTATGATAATTAGAGTATCAAGATGAAGGCTCTACTAGGAGCTCAAGATGTGTGGAATATTGTTGAGAAATGCTTCAAGGATCAAGATGAATCCTCGCTAAGCCAAGGTGTAAGAGAGACATTGAAGGAGTCAAGAAAGAGAGACAAGAAAGCTCTCTTTCTCATTTATCAATCGGTGGATGAAGATACGTTTGAGAAGATATCCAACGCAACAACGGCCAAAGAAGCATGGGACAAGCTTCAAACTTGCAACAAAGGAGTTGAGCAGGTAAAAAAGATTCGTCTTCAAACTCTTAGAGGTGACTTTGACGTTTATTTATGGAGGAGTCCGAGTCAATTTCAGATTTATTTTCTCGAGTATTGGCTGTAGTCAATCAACTTAAGAGAAATGGTAAAGATGTTGATGATGTGAAAGTCATGGAGAAAATACTTCGCACTTTAAATCCAAGTTTTGACTTCATTGTTAGAAGAAAATAAGGATCTAAAGACCATGACTATTGAGCAACTCATGGGTTCCTTACAAGCATACGAAGAAAAACAAAAGAGAAAAATTAAACAAAAGGAGGCTATGGAGCAATTACTGCAACTCAACATAAAGGAAGAAAACTATGCGAATTACAAGAGCCAAAGAGGACGAGGTCGTGGCCAATATCGTGGACGTGGACGAGGACATGGAGGAGAAGGAAGAGGAAGTTGCAATAAGTACTCCGACAACTTCAATAATGGAGAAAGAAGTTGGAATCCACAAGAAACAATAGGTCGTGGAAGAGGAACCTCATGGTCGAGGAGCAATTAAATCACAAGTCAAATGTTTCAACTGCAACAAGATTGGTCATTACGCAAACGAGTGTAGATTCTCGAAGAAGCTGGAAGAGAAAGATAATTTTGTAGAAGAAAAAGGTGGAGAAGAAGAAACTTTGCTATTCATGTGTCAAAATGATGTTGGAGAGAAAATAAATAAGTGGTACTTGGACACTAGTGCAAGCAACCACATGTGTGGCGATCGAAGCATGTTCGTAGAGATCAATGAAGCGGAAACTGGTGATGTACCATTTAGAGATGACTCAAATATACCAGTCAAAGGCAAAGGTAAAATTCTCATATGTTTGAAGAATGGGAGTCATCAATTCATATCCAATGTCTATTATGTGCCTAACATGAAGAATAATATTTTGAGTTTGGGATAATTATTAGAGAAAGGCTATGACATCCACTTAAAAGAACATAGTCTTTTCTTAAGAGATTGCAGTCATAACTTGATTGCTAAGGTGCCTATGTCAAAAAATAGAATGTTACTCTTGAATATTCAAAATGACATAGCAAAGTGTCTCAAGGCTTGCTATATCGATTCTTCATGGCTATGGCATCTACGATTCGGGAACCTCAACTTCGATGGTTTAGAATGTTTTTCGAAGAAATAGATGGTGAGAGGCTTTCCTAGGATCAACCACCCAGACCAACTTTGTGAAGGATGTCTAATTGGGAAGCAATTTCGAAAAAGTTTTCCAAAGGAATCAACGTCAAGAGCGACAAAGCCACTAGAGCTCATACACACGGATGTCTGTGGACCAATCAAATCTAACTCGTTTGGTAAGAATAAATACTTTCTCCTCTTTATTGATGATTATTCTAGAAAAATATGGGTTTATTTCTTGAAGGAGAAGTCAGAAGTATTTGACAACTTTAAGAAGTTCAAAGCCCTTGTGGAGAAAGAAAGTGGTTTTCCCATCAAGGCCATGAGATCTGACCGAGGAGGAGAGTTCACTTCAAATAAGTTCAAAAAATATTGTGAAGACCATAGAATCTGTCGCCCACTGACTGTGCCAAGATCGTCTCAACAAAATGGAATAGCAGAGAGAGAATCGGACTATACTTAATATGGTACGAAGCATGCTCAAGAGCAAGAATATGCCGAAGGAGTTTTGGGCTGAAGCAGTGGCATGTGCAGTTTACTTGACAAATCGTTCCCCAACAAGAAGCGTGCATGAAAAGACACCCCAAGAAGCATGGAGTGGAAGGAAACCTTGGATCTCTCACCTCAAAGTATTTGGAAGCATTGCCTATACCCATGTTCCAGATGAAAGGAGAACAAAGCTCGGTGATAAAAGTGAGAAGTATGTGTTTGTGGGTTATGACTCAAGTTGTAAAGGGTACAAGCTTTATAACCCAAATAGTGGAAAGATCATCATAAGTCATGATGTGGAGTTTGGCGAAAAAGATTATTGGGATTGGAGTGCTCAAGAAGACAAGTATGATTTTCTTCCTTACTTTGAAGAAGAAGAAGAAGAAGAAGAAGAAATGGAACAACCAATGATAGAGGAACATATTACACCACCTTCCTCACCGACACCAAGGTTGGATGAAAAAAGTTCAAGTGAGAAGACACCACGACTTAGGAGCATTGAAGAGCTTTATGAGGTAACTGAAAACCAAAATGACATTAACCTCTTTTGTCTTTTTGGTGATTAGGAGCCTCTAAGCTATCAAGAAGCGGTAGAAAACATAAAGTGGAGAGACGCCATGGAAGAAGAAATCAAGTCTATCACGAAGAATGATACATGGGAACTTACTACACTTCCACAAGGACATAAAGCAATTGGAGTAAGATGGGTGTACAAGGCAAATAAGAATGCAAAAGGAGATGTTGAGAGATGCAAAGCAAGATTGGTGGCGAAAGGCTATAGTCAAAGACAAGGAATTGACTATGATGAGGTATTTTCTCATGTTGCTCGTCTTGAAACTATTAGACTGATCATTTTCTTGGCAGCCCAAAATGAATGGAAGATCTATCAAATGGATGTGAAATCAGCCTTCTTGAATGGTTTTCTCGAAGAAGAAGTTTATATCGAGCAACCACTAGGCTATGAAGTAAAAGGGAAAGAAGAAAAAGTCTTGAAGTTGAAGAAGGCATTTTACGGTCTCAAGTAAGCACCGAGAGCTTGGAATGTTCAAATCGACAAGTACTTTCAAGACAAGAACTTCATCAAGTGCCCATATGAGCATGCACTCTATATCAAAGCGCAAAGTGGAGATATTTTAATTGTTTGCTTGTATGTAGATGACTTAATTTTCACAGGGAACAATCCAAGCATGTTCGAAGAGTTCAATAAAGACATGTCAAATGAATTTGAGATGACGGATATGGGGTTTATGGCATATTATCTTGGCATCTAAGTAAAGCAAGAAGACAAAGGAATTTTCATCACCCAAGAAGGTTATGCCAAAGAAGTCATTAAGAAGTTCAAGATGAATGATGCCAATCCAGTTGGCACGCCGATGGAATGTGGTAGCAAGTTAAGCAAGCATGAAAACGGGGAGAATGTGGATCCAACTCTTTACAAAAGTTTGGTTGGAAGTCTACGTTACTTAACAAGTACAAGGCCAGATATTCTCTATGATGTAGGAGTTGTAAGTTGATACATGGAAACTCCAACAACAACTCAATTCAAGTCGGCAAAGAGAATCCTTAGATACATTAAAGGTACAACTAACTTTGGCTTGCACTATTACTCTTCTAATAATTATGAGATTGTTGGCTATAGTGATAGCGATTAGAGTGGAGACTTGGATGATAGGAAGGGCACTACTAGTTATGTATTCTTTATGGGAGATATTGCTTTCACTTGGATGTCAAAGAAGCAACCAATAGTCACACTATCAACTTGTGATGCCAAGTATGTCGCCGCCACATCATGCTTTTGTCATATAATTTGGCTAAGAAACTTGTTGAAAGAGTTAAAAACGCCACAAGAAGATCCAATGGAAATATGTGCTGATAATAAATCAGTAATTTCTTTGGCAAAGAATCCAGTCTTTCATGAAAGAAGTAAGCACGTCGACACCCGTTACCATTTTCATAAGAGAATGCATTGAGAAAAAAGAGGTGAAGTTGAAGTATGTAATATCTCAAGATCAAGCTGTCGACATTTTCACCAAGCCACTAAAGTTGGAAACTTTCGTGAAGCTAAGGAGTATGCTTGGAGTCACAAGTCAATTTTAAGGGGGGATGTTGAAAATATTAAACTTGATTTGGGCATAAATTAATTAATTGTTTTTTGGGCTTAGTTATTTTGGGCTTAAGTA